GAGAAGCGTAGCATGCAGCCGAATACCATGTTTGCTTGTGCAACGGATTGAGTGGGTTTCCACTTTGATGCACATTCTATAAAAAAGAAGGGGCTGACTGATTTTTTTGACATGAAAATGGGATGCTGAATCAGATAATGAATGTTGTCGCCGCTGTTATGCTGCGTTTCGTTTTTCTTGATAATGATATTCACCTATTCTTGATGTACTTAATTAATCAGTTATGCGTGCAGTATATAGCTTGAAAGTTACAAGAGATGGCAACAGGGCATCATCATCATCATCATCCTCCTCCTCAAAGCTAGATGACTTCGGCCAAAACATGGCTGCTACATTGCAAGTAATATATATATATATATCTCATCGCAGCTGGATCAATTGCAGGACCAGACATATCCATATCCGGCCCCAGCGCATGCTATCGTGATATCACATCCGGTTACCAATTTAGCATGAAAGAAACCAACCAATACCTGCGCTTTTATTTATTCAACCACATACTCAAATAGACACTCACCCTTTATATCCTATCTACGCACGTCTCCCAACCAACTTACAGCACCGTGGAAATGCTTGTCACGTTACAGTGTTGAATAATACCGTGAAAAAGGCTGTATTCCACTCCATAATTCGTACCAGCAACTAATATGATCATTAGCCGTTTGTTTGTTTGTTTTTTTTCTTTTGGGCTGCATAAAGTTGACGGACATCAGTTGCCAAAGTTCGTGGAAGTAACTTCTTGGTAATCTATACGTAACTTCTTCACTTTAGTACACTTGGTAAAAGGAAATATTGAGAGTTGAACCTAAACGTCTGCCTAAACTATCAAGGAGAGTTTCCAAAACAAATTACAAGATTAGAAAGAAAATGGGAAACTTGAAACGTTGCAATTTTTGGTTGTGCATTGATAGCACTAACAATGCTAGGCAATGATTTGCAGTGCATTGTCCATGCCCGTAGGCCGTAGCAAAGCTAGACAATGGCTTGAAAGATGTCTTATATAGTACATGAAACGATATATGGAAATATAAGAAGCAGTTACAATCATTTACCCTTAACCTGTTTGATTCATGTATCTCTCTACATGATCTGTACCTATTTCCTCAATGAATTAATCCTATTACAAACTCTATAAATCCCGCCATTGATCTTCACAGTCTTGGGCTTTTCCTTCATCTGCCCCCAAATCCTCCTCTTCCACGTACTCCTTTCCATTAACTTGCACAAAAAAGTCACTAAAACGGAAGACCTTCTTGGTTTCTTTGATGCAGCAGCTTCTTCAGTTGCAGTTGAAGGTGAAAACAATGATGGAATCACATGATTTGGTGCATGAGAAAATCGAGAGCTCCTTCCCTGTCTTGATCCGCTAAGAGATGGCAAAACCATGATATGTCTATCGATCACATGGCTAAGAGAAACCAGTTCATATGAATCATATAAAGGGCTCCCACAATCCCATATGTGAGGAATTGCTTCTTCATCATCATCACCATCATCTTCTTTTACCTCTGGTTTTCTTTCAACACGATCAGACGGTGCCCGTGACTCTTTCATCTTTGATTATGATGCTGATGATACTGCTTGAGTGGAGAGTGGAGACTGGAGAGTAGACTGTTTCTTCTAGTAATTCAGCGCCATGTTCTTGTTTCGGCCGCCTACAGGGACAATTTTTGCCAGTGGGAAACCAACCGTATATTTTTATTAGTTTAGGTGAGCATCCAGATAAGAAAAATAAGAGTGCAAAGTTCCATAACTCTCCCTACTCTGACGGCCTTGACGTTGTGCTTCCTGGCAAGTTAAATGTCTTTTTGCACCGGACGAATACTGAGTATTAGGCTAAATCAGGGGTCCAATGTATGTGTATCTGTCGAAGAAGATGACAGATCTGCTCATTTAATATTGGGAATAAGATAACGAGGTATACAATCAATAGCCCGATGCCTGGTAGTGTGTATGGGGCTAATTGCTTAGATTATAGGTAAAAAAAAAAAACATCCGCCAAATGCACCTCTGACACGGGGTTGTTCTTGTTCTATACGTGCCGTGCTGATTCAGCACGGCCCCAAAATAAATTTCTTAGAAGTCAGAAAAATGTCAGCTTGTGCAGTCTTGTGTCAGTCCGGGCCGTGCTGATTGTGCACGGCCCGGAATGACTAAAGACCGACGGATACTGCTTTTGTCAGTCCCGGCCGTGCACATTCAGCACGGCTCCATTGAAAAAAATTAAACCATTGGTCTTGCAGCAGGTGAGAATGCCGTAGGAGTGATCCTTGGTGGAATCTTGTAAGTTTCCTCGCTCCTCGTTCTTTCTTGGGAAGGGGGATGTTTTTGTTGGTTAAGCAAAATATTTATAGGGCTAATGCTTAATGACACCTCAAATGCCAAAAGAAAAATCAAGTCTTGGGATTCTATCATCTTTATAAATTATGCATTTATAATAATATACACTTATACATTTAAATATTGTATTTATAATACATTTATATATTTATATCAAAATATATAAATGTATTATATTATATATAATACATAATATAAATATATTTTTAAATGTATAAGTGTATATTATTATAAATGCATAATTTATAAATGAATATTATATAAATGTATAAAGTAATATATTATAAATATATATTAATATTATGTGTAAATGTATTAATATAATTAATATAAATGCAAAAATGTATTAATATTATGTATAAATGTAAAATTAATATCATGTATATTAATATAATTTATATAATATATAATATTTATATAAATATATTATAAATATATAAAAATACTTTTTAAATAAAATAAAATATTTATAATATGTATAAATAAATAAATATTTAATATATAAATATTTAATATATATAATATACATTAATATTAATTATAAATATTGTAATATTATAAATATGGTGTTTATATAATATTTCAATTTGTAATATTTATTGTACATTTCATTATATAAATATTTGTATAATACATAATATATAAATATATAATATATAATTTTCAATAATACATAAAATTGTGTTGAAATATCAACAATGCATATTCGGTCAACATTCAAATTCAAAAATAATTTCAAAGTTGACAAAATATTGATAGACCGTACAATTGACTGTAGCTAGCACCATTTGTGTCATGAGCAGTCGAAGACTAGGAATTCTAAACGGCTTCACAATTAACTCCCATCAGGGCCCCATTAGTTTATCATTTCTTTACTTTGCATTATTGGCATATGTAGTCCTTAAAGCTGCTGCGAGCCAAATTGGAAATGGCAAGGAGAAATCTCGTGCTTAATTTTTTTCAAAGGAGCCGTGCTGAATGTGCACGGCTCTGACTGACAAAAGCAGTATCTGTCAGTCTTTAGTCATTCCGGGCCGTGCACAGTCAGCACGGTCCGGACTGACACAAGACTGCACAGGCTGACATTTTTCTGACTTCTGCGAAATTTATTTTGGGGCCGTGCTGAGTCAGCACGGCACGTATAGAACAAGAACAATCCCGTGTCAGAGGTACATTTGGCGGATGATTTTTTTTTTTACCTATAATCTAAGCAATTAGCCTGTGTATGGCAACACATGATTATTCTTAGGTAAGCAATTCGAGTATTGATTGGACATTACGATGGTGCTTTTGGTGAGCATGCAACTTTGTGAATCTGTACCCTTCACTTTAAATTATGAAAAAATTGGCCGTTACAATTTGTGCTTACCTTGCAACTCTCCCAAAATTTTCGCAGTCCATGAGGCATGAATCGCTTCAAATCATCTGTCCCGAATTTTGTCTCTATCGTCCTGTATTTATTTAACTTCCATTTGTATTATGCCGTTGGACTTATCGTCCAATAAAATCTTAAGAGATATTGATTGTTGGAATTATTCACAATTGAATTCTAAAAATTATTAATCAATACACGTGATTATCAAACAGGTACGAGACTGCAGAGACAAAATCTAGGATTTCAAGTAGGTACGAATTTGTGTCTTTGTGCCTCACTTGCCTAAAGACACAAATTTGAACATAGGCTTATCTCTTTATCAGTATGATCTCCCACTCACTATTAATTCCTCTTATTACATATTTCCTGATCACTTAGACCAATTTCTTATCAAACTCTAGCGGATGATTTTATGGTTTTAATTTTCAATACTAAACACCGCTTGCATGTGGGTTTAGATTAAGCATCCGATACCCTCTATCTATTACTTAAACTTAGCAAATCATTCATGAAACCATAGTTTAACAATATTCCTCTCATATACAATTTAGATAAAAAAAAAAAAAAAATCACTTCAAAGATGGTGTCCAAATAGTCAAAATAAAATGAGAACAAAATGATACGAAAATTCCTTACAAGACAAAATTGCATATGCTTATTTAAACTCCCGTCCCGATCATGAAATGGTACTTTTTTTTTTTTTTGTCGACACGGGGGTGTCCGGGTCAATCCTTACGGGGCCCGACTAATCCCCTGCGGCCTGGACCGGACGCCCCAGGTACATGCTATACATATATATATATATACTTCTATTTATATTCATATGTTGGGTATTGAGCTTGTTGAGACCTCTTACCCCTAATTCTATCGGACCACCTGGCGACCACTCCTTTTGGATATCAAACCCTAGCCAATATTCCATTAGTTGCTTATTATAAGGGTGTTCACAAATCGAATATCCAATCTGTGAAATTCACAAAAATGGGACGAGCCATTTTGTGATCCGTATCTGGATCTTCTAATGCAGATATCTGGACATTTGCATTATGTGCTGATTGGATTAATCGGATATCCGATCCATATCTAATTTTTAAAATTTTCTTTTAAAAATATAAATTCCCAAGATATGGAACAAGGGTAGTTCAATTTCAGGTGTGCCTCTCACTTTTTATTTTGCAACTAGACTTGATCTGCGTTTTGCCTGAGTGAAAAGGTCAGTACGAGAAACAAAAGAAATCGACCGTAATGAAAATGACGACGACGACGACAACTACGGGACTACGAATTTGTACAACTTGGAAGCATTTTATTGAGTAACCCCGTTGATGCCCAACAGAAATGAGTAACACGACCGACGACGGCATTACTAACTTCTTATGACACACACTCTGTCTCTCCCCCTCTTACAGTTTCAGTTACAGTTTGTACTACATATAATCAGGTCTGGCTGGCCGTAATTGACAGATTCAAACTAAAAGGCAGTACTAGAGTAGCTCTTAACAACGTTATTACACAGTATTTGCAGCACTTTGTTATTGGTGGGGCCGACACATCGCGGGGTCTTGAATTGACTCACAGCAGCCCCTAACCCCACGTAATGATCCAGTATCTTGTGGAAGGTTCCTCTCTTCACAATTCTGAGCTCAAGGGCACCGATTGCTTTAACTTTGCGGGAGCTTAGGTATCCAGCATCAAGAAATGATTTATCCAGACAATTGCAGCATTCCTCTAGAACCTCGTCGCTTGCTTCCCCACTTATTTCCCAGAATATGACGTAGTGCCCCGGTTCAGTTGACGAATCAATTCGGCTGGTGAAGTCAACCACTTCTAGCCTGTTTTCTGCTAGAACCTTGGCTGCAGCTTCAACCGCTAGCTGTAAATCTTTCTCGGTATTCTTGTCTATGTTGATTGTCAGCAAGAGATTTCTCCTGCAAATAAACTGCAGTTCTGGGGTGGAGTTGTGGAACCCTTTTACCTTCACCACATCCCCTAGCCTGTAACGGTACAGCCCTGCAAAAGTTGCACCACATGCAAATTCATTTCTCAATTACATCCCACACCACGCTGGGAAAAGTGTAGAACCAATAATGCCAAAGTAACTGGAAATCGTCGAACATAATTTGCATGGTTGAAGGTTTTTGCACTTCATTTTTACACTCCTGTTTCAACCATTTTAGTCAAATCATTTGTGTGACGTGACTGACGCATGTCATCTGTCTGATCTTTTATTATACTGAAGTTTTTTACACAATGTAAGAAGTCCATCTTTTCCAAGTTCCATCCAAGTGGTATGATGAGTTGGTATTCGTAGAAAAAAAGATTCTGCCGGACAAATAAAAAGGCACGTCCCATTACAGGGTTGAATGAGAAGAAAAATATCTTTCTTTTTTCCTAGTCACTTTACAGGGTTGTTGCTATGCTGTCTTCAATCACATGAATGGCATCCATAATGTCAAAGACAATCACTACTAATTGCTTCGACAAGTAAACAACGTTATCTGTAAAGAAGATTAAAATAGTGGCAGGCACACAAAACAAGCAATGTACGATGTCAATGGTAAGGCACGAGATCTGATGACCTTCATATATTACTGGACATGATGGGGCACATGCATGGTCTGAACGGTGAGTTTTTAAACAGATGCCACCTCCTACAAGTCTGCAACACCTCATGGGAACAGAGACTCCCCCCCCCCCCCCCCCCCCCCCCCCCGCGCCCCCAAAAAAAAAAAGAGATCTTTGCAAGCAGTGTCATTAGTACCGCAATCTAAAAAAATTCTAGCCACTCATGGGTTGTGCAGCTGGTTTAGCATGTAATAATAGAGACGAGGTTCTTCCTATAGCCACAGCCCAAAAAAAAAAAAAAAAAAAAAACATACAGGGCGTTAACAGAAATAGATTCATAAAAAAGACAAATTTTGTACCTGCAAAACTTGTAACGATAACTTCATACTCTTCACCAGCTTTAACTTCAGCGAGACCAACAGGCTTGGCTTCTAGGCCATCGAGACTTTGCCTCAGAGGAATAAACTCAAAATAACCAATATTTGGAAGAACAGCAAAAGTGGCCATCTCAGGGGGCAATTTTGGATTGACGTTCACTCCAATCCATCCTTCAGAAGACCCATAATCTGCACTTAGCAATGGTAGCTCTCCTGCATAATGCCTCAATTTTTTCAAATACGGCTCCATGGAACCTGTCATTATCCCATATATGTACCTGGTGTTAGGAAATAGCTCTGGGATCAATCCGTACCAATTGCTCAATCCCTGACACTTGTTATGGATTAAATCAGCCAACTCAGGATTTGGCTTGAGCAATTTTGACATTGCCGTTCTAACTGATGGGACAGAAATTCGGCTGCTTAACACTCCCTCCCTGATATCAGTACACAACTCCTCCCAGTCCTGCTCGAATGTTCGGAACGCAAACACAATGCTGTGAGCAAATGTAGAGGAAATTACTTGAACTTCTTCACGCTGGATGAGTCCACATAACAGATGGCAGTATAATGATTGGTGGAAATCCGGACCAAAAATCACTTCTTCAGGGCTGCAACATGGGCTATGCATAGCCTTCATTGTTCTCTTGAACAATGGGTTGCGGTATACATTAGTGGTGGCAGTCCCTGCTGCCAAACCTCCTTTCGTTTTAAACTGCCTGCTACCATAGATGAGCTGCAAACATTTCCCATTGCCAATTGGGAATTCCCTGCAAGGACAATTATGTTATTTTCTTCCATTGCTATCACTTCGGTCATACATAATTTAAACAAGGACTACCACACGACAAGTCAATGTGGCTACGGAAAGCCATGTAAGGAAAACCAGAAAACCAATCAAATTTTCTGCTCGCAAGGAAGTGAAGCACTTGCCTGTTCCTAAAGGAATAGGAAGTTTTGTATATCTGCATGGTGGATTCCATCAGTTCATCATTGAAAGGGACAAACTTGGGCATCCCACGAGTAGTACCGGAGCTGCAATAAAATTCCAGTTTATCCGAAGCTACAAAGAGCCATAAACGGCACATGTGTGTGCGTGTATATATATTGTTTCCATTTTCCCCATGAATGATGAAACTGAAAATTGATTTACCTTAAGGAGATGGTTGTTATTGGGTTTCCGGTAAGAATTGAAGAATCATCACCGTCAACAATCCTATTGATGTAAGGCTCCAAATCCTCATGAGTGACAAGAGGAACGCAAGATTTGTAACTCTCAGGATCAGTTCTTCCATCGAGACCCCATCTCTGCAAATACTCTGTTCGACCATTTTCTTCAAGAATTTTCTTCAGTGTTTCTATCTGAACCCTCCCAGCATCTCTAGTCATTGCCTCAAATTCAGCTATGACATCTTCTGGATCCAAAGAAAGAGGCATCTCCTCCAGCATCCCCATATTCCTTCTAGGAGCTGTTAAAACGATTTAAAATTTACGATAAGTTGTGAATCCAATTACTAAAGCAAGCCACTTTAATGACAGGGCTAACCAATCAGATAGTGACACAATTTAATGATGCTTCTATGCAATAGAAATGATTTGACAGAAAAAAAAAAAGAAGATAAGTATCAACCTATTAAATTGTTAAAAAAAAAAAATCTGTTGAGGTCAAAGTTCATAAAGAAAGCAAATATGAAATGGAGAAAGTTCACTTGTAGCCACCTCTGTCCCAATTCTGTGGACGGAAAGGTGTTCTTCTTTGACGCAAGTCAACGAAGCTCAATAAAACAAGGGCCAAAAGAAAAAGAAAAAAGAAAAACCCCTCCCCCAAGAAGAGCTAAAAAAAAAAAAGGAGAAAGGAAATTCTTAAATACTGCTGTACTAAAACAGGAGAAGGAAACATCAGAGGGGGAACATAAAGCAAGAAAGAGAAATCCCAGATACATACAAGGCTTGTAGTATTATTAGAATCGGATGAATCAGCAGATTCATGAACCTTTTAGGACAGTTTTAATGCACGAGAATAAATGAGAGAAAGTACACGATTTAGTTAAAGCTGAATGCATTTCCAAAAGTTTTGAGGGAAGTTTTAGCTTGATAAATTCATAAAGTAATCTAGTATTCTAGTCTAGTATAGTAGTAGTATATAGTAGTAAAAAACTAGCTCTGTATGTGTTGTATGTAGCAGGAAAGGAAGAAAAAAGGGGTAGGGGAAGGACATGAGAATCGTACCAACTCCAAAACTTTCTGCAGAAAGGTCCATATATAGTAACCACAAAAGCAGAAAAGAAAATTTCAATTCCAAAAGCTGGACAAAAGATTAAAGATGGAAAAATGAAAAACTTAATAAGATCTCTCGAGAGATAAAGAGAGACTTTAAGACAGAAGAGATAAATTCTTGGAAAAGTGGTAACCAACAACAACAACCAAAGAAGGGAGGGAACAAAACAAAAGGTTAAAGTCCACAAATGAAGTGGGCGTTTGATGACATGCATAGATAGAGAGAATAGAGCGATGACAGAGGGAATGAATGAATCAATCAGTGGACGTAATTGTCTGAGCCCAGTGATCAGAGATAGAGAGAAAGGGGTTTCAGGCGTGCATAGGATGGCCCTCGCCGGGGTTGGCAGTTGGGGGAGAGGGATTAAACAATAAAGAGGTGGGGACCTCCTCCTTTCCCCTGAATCCCTGGAGTTGCCTCTGGACTCTGGAGATGGAGTGAGTCCGAAAGAGAGAATCAAAGAAAGAAAGCGCTGGAAGTGGCGAGGCGAGCCTTACACGGTAAAGGCGGCTGAGACAGACGATGGATATCCTCCCGAACAGATGAGGTGGAGGGGGGCGAGTCAACGAGGAGGATTCAACTATTTAGGCGGCAATCAGCTAGCGAGTAGACTCGGTAATCAGTGCCTGACTACTACTGCTCCTGCTCCTGTAGTGTTGGACCGTTGGTTTACTTCATCTATCTCCTGTGTGTATGCGCGAAGGAAACAAATGAAAAGGAGGAAGAGGGATGGCACTTGGAAGTCTCCTCAGCCCCTTATAATATATATATATATATATACGATTCAATTCACCCCCGGTTACTGCTTACTGAGAGTGAAATGAAAGATGTCGGCTCTTGAAAGGTTAGAAATGAATGAAAAATTAGTAACAGAGGGGCAGGGGTGAGAATTAGGGAGGGAGGAGAATGAGAAGAGGAAAGAGATTTGAATTGAAAATCGCTAATTGGTTGCTAGGACTGGACCTGGGGCTGGTTGATTGGAATTTAGGGTCAAATGGCAGCAAAAGTAGCACTCACTCTCCTCTCTATCTCTCTTGTGTACATTTGTTGTTATTTTCACTTTATTAATAGCCCTGTGAATTTTTTTGAATACTGCTTGTTTAAAATTTTATTATAATTTATAATAAAAATTGTAAAAAATTTATTTAAAATATGGAAATTTTTGAATATTTTGAGAAGGATGAGAAGAAACCAGCGGAGAATGAGACAAAATGAACTGGCCATTTTTTTTTTGGATCATCTTCACTTTCTTTTATCCTTTTCTCGGTTTTGCTTTTGGTGGTCACCTGGGTTAGAGTGGTCGGATGGTCGCTGATAATTTTTGGTATAAGCCTGCTGCTTGCTGCTTGTTTTTTGATTGATATAACTCCGCTCTCCACTCTCTTTTTCTTTTCGTCTTTTTGTTGGTCCCTGTCCGAAGCTTCAGCGGAACCTCCGGCTCACACTTTTCAGGCGTTGCAGTTTTTTTTAATAGCGTAAATAATCGGAAACATAGGAATGGAGACAGACAAAGAGAGTGGGATACGCGAGAAAAATACATCATAGACTAGACTGGGTACGGATTACGGAGAGACTTTGAGAGGCAGCCAAAGATTCCGTGAGCCAAAGGGCAGAGGTGTGGCATTGACGGAGTCGGACGACGTGGGAAACGCCAACCCTGCCCCAAATGTGGGGACCATCACACCAATAGTTGTTTTTTTTTTTTTCTCCTAAACTGAAATGCCCCGCGTTACAACTTTTCTGACCCGCTTTCAGAAATAGGAATGAAGAAACCGAGACCGGGAGTGACGTGGCCTTTCAATAATCGCATGTCTACAAGTGGAGCCGTACACCAGATCTACTCAAATTTTTGCCAGTATTCTTTTATGCATACGGTTTGATGGTCAAAGCTACTCAAACATATACATAGAGAGATGCGTCAAAACTTGCATACTTTATTATATTGAGGGTCAATTGAAAAATTTCCTCTGAGATTTAACCAGTTTTGCACTTACCCTTTTAATGTTTTTTTTTTTTTTGTTTAACTTTATGCCTCACGCCGTTTGTCAATTCTAACGCCGCGTAACATTGAAATGTCAAAAATGACCATTATATCTCAGGGAGAGGTTTTATGATTAACTATTATATTAATTTATTATGTGAAGGAAATTAACAATACAAAATAGAGCCAACTTCTAAGATCAAGTTTAAAATGAAAATGTGATATAAATGAATAATGTACCTAGAAAGAACAAAATATTAATTGATATAAATGAATAATGTAACCGAACTATATTAATGCTTTTATTTATACGTTAATTAGGCACTCGGGATCATAACTCAAAGACCTCAATACTTGAAAGATAAAAGAAAAAACCCTCAACGTTAAGGGAAGGAACAAGAACATAACCGTCCCTAAGTAATGTAACAATTTTCCAACGGATTATAATTTATTACAAATTAATTATGCATTTTTTCTCATGCTCTTAAATTTCACTGTTGTTGATACGAGAACTATATTGATGGACATTCGTTGGAGTAGACCCATTATTTTGACACATATCCTCATTTGTGACGATGGATGATTGAAACCGTACCCATCCAAATTTTTCTTTTAAAAAAAAATGGTAGCTCTCGTTTGGGAGGATTGTTTCTGAAAAGCCTCCCGGATCCTTTTTCCAAACTCGTAGGGCGTATTCCACAACGGGTCCAGACATCATCCTGGTTTAGTGTAGACGAATTAAAATTTTTTTTTTCCGTGGAAGACGAATTAAAAGAGTCAAGCCAGAAAATATTCAAGGTATTGATTCGAGATGTCTCGAAAAGATTAATCGATTGCTAAAGAAATCATATCAACTCCATGGCTTTGCAAACCCAGAGGAGCCCTTTAGTCATGGGTTGCATTGTGGCTCTCCGACTTCCCCAGATTTTTTTGGGTTCTTTTCTTTTGCGCTCTCTCTCTCTCTCTCTCTCTCTCTGTGAGTAATATTAGGCTTTCATTAATATGCCTAAAACTGTTAATCTTTTTCTGATCTGAATGCTTCTAATTCATTATCAGGCATTTCAAAACTCGATTTGTTATTTTTACAGATTTTTTCGCTGTTGATTGACTACTGAACACTCATTAATACATCTAAATCAAATTCAACCCACCATATAAATGCACACGTGAGCACGACTTGTAAATATTTGCAAGTCAAAAATTCACAAGGACTAGAAACAGTAGCATTTCTTGGTAAGTATGCGTCTGTGTTGCTTTAGTGCATAAAAATGCATTTTGATACGATAACGTGCTTATTCTTTTGGCCGCTATTTTTTTTTTTTTTTTTACAATGATAATATTTTTATAATCTAATCTATCATAAATTACAGGGAGGGGAGGTTAAAAAGACCATATTATATAAAAGATTAGTAAGTATAAAAACTTGATTAAACGAAAAGGGTATTCTGACACCTCCTTTACATTTTTTCCACTGCAGGTGGGTTCGAACTCCCGTTCAAAGAGGAATTTAGTGACTTTCAGCGATCATATGGATCACATTCTTGTGACGTATCATTTTTAGTTCTCCTTCATTGAACTCAAATCATGAAAAACTTTGAATAGGGCAAAAGCAAACAAACAATTGCGTAACAGAGAGTCCAGGGAATCATGAAACGAAATGAAAATAAAATGTACGACAAATAGTGAAGACAAAAGGAACAGTGCAACATATAGGGCGGCTGCCACATATCCTAGCTAAAATGGACGTTGAATTTGTATCAAAGGAAGCGGCGCCTTCCCTTAACCCGAGAAATAGCAACAAAAGACAATCAGTAATCAAACATATTGTGGCTCCCGGTGGCTTCTTTCTATGGTTCTTATCGTTGCGACAAAAAAAAAATCAACAATCAGCAGTCAGTCAATTGTGCAATTTGTAAGAAAATGGATGAATACAGGAGTTAAGCACAACGTCATTAAGACTAAATGTTACAGAACTCAACATTATAAGTCCCACTTCTCAATATTAAGATCGAAAGTTAAAAGGAGTAATCAATTTTAGGTTTCAAAATGGTCGACATTGTCATGCATACCAGTGACTGAGACTCGAAATATTGCGGACTAATACGCAGCCAACACTTAACTGGTCTGTTTATCACTATTATTTAGTACTATTGCTGGTCAAATTGGCCAATCCTTTATTAATTAAATTTGGAAATTGACGTTTCAACAACAGAACAGACAGCAGGATCCACGCTCATTCAATGCATGAAGGTGAAAGGAGCTCATATTCGTCAAATTCCTTGTCACGTAGAAAGGGCAATTAAAAGAACTTCAAACAACGGCTGGAATTTGGAATAGATCCGCTTGGGTTTCTAGATTAAGTGGAGGAGAGCACTATTTAGAAGCTGCAGTGGAATGGCGCAAGTAGAACCAAAACTCGTATTATTAACTTCTTACGTTTCCATTTTATATGCTAACTAGTTTTGTACCCGTTCCTTGAACGGGAATTTTCGAAAAATAATAAACTATTTAGTTAATTTTGTAAAAATGTCGATATGAAATACAAACTTAATGTCTATTTTATGATAACCTTTCTTAAGTATATTACTATATGCGCATTGCAATATAAAGTATTCTTATGATATAAATTTGAACATCTAATAATTTACTTCGGTAATTAGTTACTTTTCTACTTCTTGTAGTGATAACAATTCTTATTTACTTCGGTTCCCTATGCCGTACACAAATTATTGGCATGAATTTGGAGATATATCTAATAGAGATATTTATATCGCATTACTTTCCAGTTCTTTTTTTGGGTAGGAAATAAGAATCATATAATATTAAGAATTCCTATAGGAAATAAGAACTGATATAAATATCTAAACAAAAAAGGAGCAAGGCACGTAGGAAACTACTTGCCGTCTCGTTAAGTCACGTAGGAAAGAGAAAACATGAATGGATAAGAATGAGAATACGACTTTATTATATATATATATATATGATAATAATTTCTGGGCTGTTGACGTTACGTCTCCAAAATCAGTGAACATATATCATTAAAAAACTATCCAGTTGGAAAAATAAAGCATTTTTAAGTAGTTAGTGTCATTTTCAGCCTGCCTTGCTTGTTTGGCATTACTTAGAGGTTCAAAGTAATTAACAACTACCAATCATTAATTAACCCACAAAAAATCAAGTACGAAGCGTTGCAGTTCTCTAATGACTTCACAAGAGACCCCACACCGGGATATAGACAGAGCATAATCAGCTCCAATCTTCACGATCACACTCAACTGTTGCCTGAATTACAGTGACCTTCATCCTGTTTCTCACTCATATATTTTATTAAGAAAGAAAGACTTTCGGCACTCGAATACCAAACCTTATCATTTGACCCCGTCCAATTGTAAGTGCGGATAAGATCAGTTTGGCATTGTAAACAACAGCGGTTTCTTGAGTTTCTTC